GATACCATCATTTGCAAGACGATCTCTCTTCATAATGTTCATGGAACTGTAGAAGCGCTCTCTCTAGATTCTAATTCGAGAATCATTCTGTAGAATATACAGTACTTGGACTTCTATTTATGGTTAGACGATTATTTTCTGGATACTAGACATAAACTACGTAATTTTATATAGTCTATAATCCATACTATTATCTCTTTCTATCAAACAATATAGCCGGATTCTTGTCGGATTATAATATGACTAATTAATTATAAAAATATTAAGTAATTTGGACTGGGAATAGGGCGGTTAAGCCACCGTCTCATTTTAAATTTAATTAATTAGTCATATTATGGCCCGTTAAGAATCCGGCTGTATTATTTGTTTATTAAGATATATCGGGTTGGATTTATATATAATTATTATCTGCTACATAATTTCATTACAATTTGCTTTAATTTTTAATTGATCTACAAGCGGTATTTAACTTAGTTGAGGCGGAGCGTCAGCCAAGCCTTTGTTGTGTGGCTTATAAAAATGTGTTCGTTCTCAAAATTTTATGGACCGATTTTGATAAAACTTTGCTATTTTCCATTAATTGTAATGCGGAATCCAAAAATATAATAAAAATGGAGGTCCATGACTTCGTTTTCGAGATACAGTGGAGTCAAAGTTGCATCCGCTTAACGGAAAATGGGCGTGAAAACGAACAAAACATAAAACGCGTGTCCGTAGAGGCAGGTACACAGTTTACCTGTGTGCAAGGATCGCCTCTTTCTTTCTGATTCCTTTTCAATTCTATTGTGATACAACAAAGTTGCACGATGCCCTAGTTGAAATTGTGCCCACCAGTGACCGAATGGATAAAACCACTGAATACTGGTAGTTGGTCATGGGTTCACTCCTCGCCTACGAGCCGGCCACGTGGAGTTTTCTGAAATTCTTCACGTTAGTCACGCCTAAATATGGGCAGTTTCCCATAAAAGACCTCCCGTGAGGTATTCCCCTTCGGAAGATGTGTCGTGTTGCCTTAATCGAATAAAACCAAACCAAACCAAATTTAGTTGAAATTATTTTGTAGTAATTCTGTTTTCAGTTATACGAGTAAGTTAGATTTTTATTTAAAATTTCAAAGATTACAAATTATACTTAATTTTAAGTTATAAATCAAATTTATTGGTAAGTAAATAAATTTCAATCAAACGAGATCAAAACAGACTTTTCTTTTTGAGACTTACCATTCTGTGGGCACTGAAAAGGTCTTTTTTTTTCAAGCCCGTCGTGGCAGGATTGGGATTAATGGAGCCCTATATATCCGCTCGAAAAATTCCTAGGGTTTTTCGACAGCCCGGATTCGAACCCGACTCATCCAGAGCGCCAATGACACCTGCGGCCGACGATTAAAACAAGTTTATATCTCACAATTAGAAAATTGTATTGAATATTTATTCATTAACATATGATAAATTAATTTTAATGAATAGACTTTAAAAAATTAAGTTAATTTATAAATTTGAAAACACGAATTGAAAGAGTTAAATAAGTTTTGTTTTTTTTGTATTGTCAACAGTGCTTTCGATTTTTTTACAGGACTTTTTTGCCTTCGTCAATTATTTTAATGTTATAGAAATCCATACTTTTAAAACGATTAAACTCTTTTGTAGATGAGACTAATTAATACTTTCTCTAATCTCATTTTGCCAATTAGATTTTTTTTCTTTCAAAAAACCATTGTATAGTAAACACAAGTAATAAAATCACAAAGAGTTAACGTTTTATAGGAGCCATCCCGTTTTTCTCGTCTTCCTTTTTTTTAGGGACAGATGTCACACTCTTATAAAGAAAAGCAATTCCGGAAGCTAATCGAACAGAAAATTCCAATATCAGATCTTCAAGTCAAGCTGCTGCTGACTTTCTCGGATATGATATTAAAAATTTCAAGCTTCTCGGTTCTGAAATCGACTTCATGCAATACTTCACATTTTATAATCTTCGCGTTTTTATCTCACAAATTTTGATCATTTAAATTGACTTATCAATTATTTTTTAATATATTTTTACTTAAAAAATTGTCACGAACAAGATTTAAGAACTGATTATTATTTTATTATTTTTCTATGGATTGAAACCTAAATAATTTTATTTATTATAACATAATATTTAAATCTATTACTTATAGGATATGTTGCGTATATTACTTTATATAAATTCATTAATTTTAAGACGTTAACGCATTAAGAATTGAACATTATGACAATACAATTTTTAATTACTCAATACGTTTCAATATTTTATGCTAACACAATTAAATCAGTAATGATTACAGTATAATTATTTGATAATTTAATGCTTATTTAACATATAAATATATTTATGAATAGGGTTATATAATTATTTAATTGTTAGGATTAATTAAATGGTAGTGCAACAATGCTATTTACAGAGATTTTGGATTGACCTTCAACACAGCACAGCACATCTCTGTTTTTATGTTAATAATTTGGAAATTTTTGAGATGATAAATGTAAGACCGAAGAGACTGTATGATACATAATAATATGTAAACAATATTTTATTTCTTTTTTTTTTTCCTTTCTTTAAATTATTATCTGCTTTCGTGAAAACGGGTTGAGGAAAAACAAATGTTATTGTTTGAAATACATTCCCTAGAATTATCCTGATCTGAATGAAGTTAAAGGTAATCCAAATTACAGTATTTAAAGGTAATAATTGTGGATTACAACTGAATTAATTATTGTCAAGTGTTGGCTTGTTTTTTTTCCGTTTAATATATATCTTAACGTTTTTTCCCTTTCTATTAACTTATATAACATATTCAGTACTTTAAATATTATATATTTAAATTAGACAGCAGTATACGAAAGAAAAAGATAAAATATTTCAGGTAAAATGAAACGAAAAATGCAAAGACATTTCCTAAAACATTATTTATTTATTTTTCATTTTTTTTAAATTATTATTTCTATTGTTCGAAATTTAAACTACAATTCAATAATAAATTGAAGACAAGAATGGATGAAGGTGTTATGTTACAATATCAAAGTTTTGAGTGAATTGATGTTAAGTTTTTGTTATGTAATTATTTAGGTGTAAATGTAACCACGAAATAGCGTCACACAGAGAATATCACACTGCTGTTTAATTTCTGAGATCTTTGATGGTGATATGTGAGAGACGGATACGTTACACCTTCATCCATGCAAGACAATTGGATTTCGAATGATTGTAACATAACACTTATGTCTTCAATTGTAATTCATAATTATTACCTTTAAATAAACTTTAAACAATTTACTAATGAATTACTTAATATTGGCAATGGACCTTATAATTGATTTTAATTTATTTTCAAATATTTTCTTATATCATATCAATGAATTTCGTTGATTATTATATAAAATATAATAAAAATGTAGTCTATTATATTAAAAATGAGTCTGACAATATTCCGGCTTTTTGTAATATGTCTAGGAAATATTCAATTGAATCGTTTAATATGCCTAC